GATTTTAAAAACCTTGCTTTGAACAAAAAGTGCGATGACGAAACTAATTTGAGTAGTTTCGTGGTGATTTCTTCTAGACAGCACATGCAATAATGGTGGTGTTATTTGATAACATTTTAATTCATTCCATAAGTTTTCTAAAATTTTCTTTATACAATTTTAGAATTTGCATCTAATTAGTAAATGTTTTACTGATAAAATCTAATATTATTATTAGCGTAATTATTTCTAAATTCTGTTACATCCCATATTTTAGTTTTCCATCCAATAACTAATTTTATTAATTTACATTATAAGTGGAAAAATAAGATATTAACAAAGCTGACATCCTATAAATTTGGCAATCAACTATAAGTTTGCACTTGTGAAGAGATTACATCAAGAAGTCTCCGCTCCGCTACCAACCAGGTTGGAAACTTTTATGAATTTGAGCGAAATGTTATTAATTTGTTAGGTATCATATCTTTTCGGTACCGACGTACCGTAGTGGAAAAAAAAAAGAAAATTTCCCAAACAGGTAAGGGCCTCCATCACCAAGTCTAAATCTTATACATAGTAGGTTCTACTTTTATGGTGAGATTCATTCTCATGGTGATCGGTGTGCAGTGTTAGATCAAGTTGGCAGAGAGTTGGAACCTATTTTGTTGGCAGATGATCCCAATTTTACACATAGCTGCACCTTGAGTTGAGTAAGTCCAAACTTATGTTGAGTTGAGTTGAATTTCGATTAGGATTAGAGTTGAAAAGTATGGAAACCGGATTCAATCAGAGCAAAGTCCATTCGAACAGCCATCATTGTCTTGCATTGGGAATATCTTCCCATGAAATAAAACATAGAAATATGGAGATATTCCAGATGAAAGGTTGTAAAGGCTGTTCGAACACTATGCGAACCGACCTTGCTTTGACTGAAGCCGATCCCAAAAGTATGAGCCTGATTTCAGGTTGGGTCAGGTTTGAGGTTTTAACCAATACATAGCAATCCAAATCTGACTTAACTTTGTATTTGTATGTATAAATATTATATAAATATTTATTTCAAAAATCTATGATGCTAGAAAGACAAGATATATAAAGGCTTTGACCGATCAACACCCCCTCCTGAATTTTAATGAATACTCATCTGATTGGTTATCATTCTTATGATGTTGGTTGATTGGTTATCAATTTTTCAGGCATTTCTGGCATCATAGTCAAAGCATAGTTATTTATGTATAAGTGCAATTATATATTCATAAGTATATGTATGTATGTCAACCATTTTAAGTTTGAAAGCAAAAAATTTCCAAAAGCATAATAAAAAAGTTTGGTACAAGAAAGTAGAGAAATAAGTCCAACCAGACCCCAACTAGAGCCCTATTGGATCCTAACCCAACCTGAAATTTTTGGCCTGGTTAGGGTTGACCTCAACCACTTTCACCCCTAATTAAAATGACACAAACACCCTACATATAGTTCCAAGCAAAGTTTTAAATATTGATACAGGACGATATATTGGTTGGGCGTATGAATTTATATTAGTCGGTCAAAATCGATTCTAAGCAAATCGATTTAAGTCCTAACTACCCTCTGAATCATAGTCTGAGCATATCGGAAAGGCCTCGATACATTACAATATTATAAACCTTAATTCTAAGTAACCTGTTATCTCTTTACCTTGAATGAACCAAAAATCTGATTGGTCCATGTTGGAAGGTATGACCCTACAGTCCTCATGGTCCAACCTGGTTTAACTTCTACTCATGCATGCTCCTAATAAATTGCTTGTGAAATCTGATTGGTCCATGTTGGAAGGTATGACCCTACAGTCCTCATGGTCCAACTTGGTTTAACTTCTACTCATGCATGCTCCTAATAAATTGCTTGTGATTGTGAAGTGGCTGAAACCTTCCATTGTGAATTCTATGGGCCACAACAACCCAACAAAGAACTCATGGAATTGTCGGTAGATCCGGCCAACCCGACCAGAATCCTATTGGTTCTATTCCTCGAAGGAGTGTCGTTGTGTCTAGAACAGAACCATGCCTCTACTGTTTAAGATAAGGTTAATGGGCCCCTTAATTATTTTTAATTTTCTGCTGAGCCTAAACCCTAACCCTAATCCTACCTGTACCCCATAAACCCTAACCCTAATCCGAAACTCGTAACCCGAATGTGGGATTTGGTGCACGTACACAAACACTAAATAAGGATAAAAAATAAAAAAGAGCATCGTGTGTGTGTGTGTCCTCACGTGTTCCATTTCGAGGAGGCACGAGCATTCCCGGAGATATCTCCCACGCTCCCTCTCACTCGAATTTCACCACTTCGAAACCCTCACCAACCCCTTTCTTTGGATTTTCGAGCGCTCCTTTTGGAGCGACGCTCTGCTTAAAATATAATATTATCCTCCACGATATACAAATGCCCCTCTCCCTCTTCCAAATTACGAAAATAACCGCCAACTACCACCTCAACCAGTCGACGTCCAACCATGCAGACCTCCGCTTAGCTGCCATGCAACAACCAGAAATTTCTTCTTTATTGACGTTGATTTTCCATTCACATTCGCGATATCTATGAACTTATTCCAATCTGATGGCTGTGAATGATGCGATTCTGTTGTAATCAAGCTGTTTAGTAAGGGTAATTTAAGTAATTAAAGGACGAAGTGAAGGAACAGGTGGACTGGTTCATCTTCAATCCCAACAGTCATCAAGACTGACACACGTCGGTCGTAGACGTTGGAAGTTGGAACCTGGGCCGGCCGCCTGAAGGGAACCGGCGTGACGATTCATTGAAGCACAACGAATGGAAAGTGGAAGGAATTTACCGCAAACAGCCGGTGATAAATTCCCATCACCACTGTCACCGTATCCCCTCCTTTCATCAACTCCGAGGCCGGTCCCTCTGACGCGCGGAGGTGGAGGAGGGGAAGGACTCAGTTTTCTGCAGGAGACAGAATCCAACTGGGAGAAAAAATAAATGGTGTGTCTTATGTTTGACCGTCAACGTGGTGAGTACAAAGCATCTGTCTTCCTCTGAAAATTCCATCTCTCGTCCCTCTAATTTTATGGGGTTTTCTTCGTTTTTCGTGTTTGTTTGGAGTTTGGACAAAATGGGTTTTCTTGGGTTTTCGTTTCTTGTTTCTGGTTTATGTCTACTCTGATTCTATTTTTCAGGGTTTAGGGTTTTGCGGTGGGGAGGGGGTTCCGCGTCGAAAATCGAGAGACGTGGGTCCTGCCTCCTTATTGTGCGGCACTCCACTCCAGTCAACCTCAACTCCTACTTTCACTTTCTTTCTAACCTTGCAAATAAGCATCTCCTCTCAGTTTGTTTGTTAATCCTTGTTTGCTCTACAAAAGTACGTGGATACTGTGTTTCACCATTTCTGTTATTCCCTTTGTCTGATACCTTTTTCATCACATAAAACCGAACAAGTTAGATCGGAATAGACCCACCAAGGACTTATCTTCAGTTCGATTGTAAGCCTTCTAATCTATGAAAACAGCCTTCTCTAAAACCATTCTATAAGAGTTCACTCATTTGGGTCTATATATATAGCTAGCAACACCATCTCACGACTCAGAGCTTCAGACAATACAGTATGAGTCTTCTGCTACATTTGAAGGTGGTTTTCTAAGGAGTACAGATCCGCAATTTGTGCTTAACAATTAAATCCAGCGGTTTAGATGATCTGCTTAAAAAGTGAAACCCTTTTTTGGTACCGTGGAGCTTCTGATTAAGAAACTTCATGTGGATCATTTTCCATTTCATGCAAGCTTTCAGTTTTTCTTTTCTAGTGTTTTTTATCTTCTGGGTCGGTGTTCTGTGCTTTTATTTATTTATCTTTTTGTTAGACACAAGCATACAGTCTGGGATACAGTTGCATTAAAAACTATTAAAAATTAAACTAAAAAGAGAGGAAAAAAAGCAAATATGAATGAGAAGAATAAGAAGAATTTGACGAATGCGGATTCCAATTAAGTGGTCAACACCTTTCTACTTGGGGAACCTAATGAATCTTTTAATCATTCTTTAGTTTGTTTCCATTCGATTATTTTATGGTCATTGCAGTACAAAATTTTGACTCACTTATCATAAACATTTGCTTCTAGTTTTATAAGTTTCAGTATTTTCATTTGTCGGCTTTTGTTTTATTTCTATGCAAACTAAAGGCGCCATATATTAAAGAATTTCATGAGCCCAAGTACACAAACAACACATGCAGGACTGGCTGAACAACACCCCACATTTGATATTCAATGGGTGCCCAGCAACGAAGAGGTCTCCAAAGCTACAATATGAGACTATGAGAGAGAGAGAGGAGAGAAGCCATGAAATGGTCTGCATGTGAGCCATGTCTAAGACTACGGAGATCAACTTTTTTTTATTGCTATCTGCTTGATCTAAAAGAAACGGGTGGAGAGAAAGATTCAGTAAACTTTACGTAGAGATGGCGACTTTTCGGCTAAGAGAGGGTTCACAAATTTGCACAGAGTGGGAATGCTGGGCTTTGGGGGGTCATTTATTGCAGAGATCGAGAGCTACAGTTCCAAGAAACCATTTTGGATGTGGAGGAGACCAATTTTAAAGAACGTAGGATTTGTTTTCACTCGATTAAACATGAACACAGACAATACTTTAATGGATCAAAAATTCTTTTAATATTTATTACAGAAAGCATGTGGCTCAACCAACGTCTGACTGAGGGGTCCTGCAAATATTTGTATTCCAATAGGTCCCATTTTAATGGGTCTCAGTTACACAAAAAATATCACGCACAGACCCAAAGCTGTACATTCTTTACACTATCAACTTTGTTTTTTGAGAATCTTCAGAAGTCTGGTGAGACTATATTATTGTGATTTAATATCTGATGAAGCTGATTTTTAAACTTGAAAAACTCTTAATGTCTCCAAGAACTTATTATATAGTTGCAATGCTATCTTCTATCTATACTTGAATATTATTATAATACAGATAGTAACTTGCTTGATGAGTGAGTGGGGTGGCGATGTCTAGCTTACTTAGAGAGAGACAGCTGAGTGGATCTATCTTAAACATCCCTTTGTATTCTCACTCAGTCTCTCACCTCTCTAGAGAAAAGTAGTCTTCATCCTCAATAGAGGAGGGAGAGAGAGAGAGAGAGGGAGGAAAAATATCCCCGACGCAAAATTTTCATTTAGGTAACATATTCCTATTCTTTCTCTTCCATTCTTTACTTTGCTGCAAGCCTACAAGACTCTCTCTCTCTCTCCCCCTCCCTGGTCTTCCTGTTAAGTGAGAATGCTACTTTAAATCAAAAGAAATAGAGTAAGAGTTCTTTCACTCAATCCGTCTTAGTCTTCCCCAACCCCCATTCTCTCTGTGCCTCTCAATCCACTTTCCCGTTACAAGCTTTCCTAACTTGTCTCTTCAATTTTTTGCAGGAAAATCTTAACAATACTACCAAATCTGCTGTACATCTATCTATTTTACATAAAGCAAAAGCAAATATGAATTCAAACTGGCTTGCTTTCAACATCTCTAATACTCAGTCTTCTGTTCCTGCTAATCTCCATCCATCTCCAACTCCTCAGTTTTCTATAGGATTGGTAAATGATACAGTGGATAGCTCCTTCCAGATACAAGGTATTGAGAACTCCCCATTCTCTTTCTCCCTTCTTATTCTCTCTTCATCTCTGTATGACTGTTACTGGCTTGCAGAATGGAACTTGATGAATTCTCACGGTGGCGAGGAAGTTCCAAAGGTGGCGGATTTTCTCGGCATCAGCAAACCAGAAAACGAGCTAAACCTTGCAACATTTAACCAAATTACAACAACCCAGCCTGACTACCTCTTATCCAACAACACCCTACAGCAGGAGGATAGCTTGGAATCTCCTACCACTAACGATAGTGATTCTCGAGGAATTTCTAACAATTTACAGTCATTGACACTTTCCATGGGAACTGTTAAGGGCACTGAGAGTGTCAGCAGCTCGAGTAACCTTGATGTCACACCAAGAAGATCTATGGATACATTCGGTCAGAGAACATCCATATACCGAGGTGTAACAAGGTTGGTACCTCTCTAACCGCATCATTTAATGAGTTTCATCTCTCTTCAGTTGCACAGATATCTCTCATCATTCCATTTAAGAAAAATACTAATAGAATCAATATAATATATACTGTTTTTTTTTTATGTAAATGCAGGCATAGATGGACAGGAAGGTATGAAGCTCATCTATGGGATAACAGTTGCAGAAGGGAAGGACAATCAAGGAAGGGTCGCCAAGGTAGAACTTCAGTTTCTGGCTCTAGGGTTTGGTTCCCCCCAATAAAAATATCCCTTTTTTTCCCTTTTTGAGTTACTGACTATCTTTCCTTTTAATATGGTCTGCCGTTGGTCTCTTCACATTTTTAAGTGTACTTGGGTGAGTAGAGATAACTAATTCCATGCATTTATTCTTTTTCTAATTCTCTTTAGGTATTCCTAATTTCCCTTCAAAATTCATCCCATTTATCTGTTACTTGGTTTGAGCAGGTGGATATGACAAAGAGGAGAAAGCAGCAAGGGCATATGACTTGGCCGCTCTAAAGTACTGGGGAACATCGACCACAACAAATTTTCCTGTATGTAAAGAATTGATACAAACACATTGTGGATGTTCTAATAATACCTCTTTTGATTATTTTTCTCGTCTTGCTGATTGATGCTTGATCGCTTTGAGTGGCATTCAGATTAGTAACTATGAGAAAGAATTGGAGGAGATGAAGCATATGACAAGACAGGAGTTTGTGGCATCTCTTAGAAGGTAACCCAAATTGCTTAGCTTAATCCAAGCGTCCATTTTACGTGTAACTGATGGTGTATATGACCATTCTATATGAATGGACTTCAGTTTCCTCCTTTCTATTGCTTGTCTTCATCAAACATGAATTCATGGAAGACGGTTCAGGACCTATTGCATTGGTTATCCAGTAGTAAACCTCTCCTAATTAACTTCTTTCTCTCCCTTGATCTTTCAGAAAAAGTAGTGGCTTTTCCAGGGGCGCATCTATGTATCGTGGGGTTACAAGGTAACACAGAGAATACTTATACTTCTCTTCTCTCTCTCTCTCTCTCATTCATTCGTTCATGTTTACACAGGCATCATCAGCACGGAAGATGGCAAGCTCGCATTGGAAGGGTTGCTGGGAACAAGGACCTCTACTTGGGAACTTTCAGTAAGTCCAGAGAGAGAGAGAGAGGAAAGGAAGAAAAGAAGAAGGGAGAACTTCTGTGATTGAACCATAATGTTTTGTGTTGTTTAATGTATAGGTACTGAGGAGGAAGCGGCGGAGGCATATGATATCGCGGCTATCAAGTTCAGAGGCCTGAATGCAGTGACCAACTTCGACATGAGCCGATATGATGTGAAGAGCATTCTGGAGAGCAACACACTGCCCATTGGAAATGGAGCGGCCAAGCGCTTAAAGGAGAGTCAAGCGATTGAGTGTTCGAGGAAAAGGGAGGAAATCAGAAGTCGTAGCTCGAGTTTCTACAGCGGAAGCTCAAGCGGCTTTCAGGGGTACCCTCTAATGCAACCATTTGAGCAGCCTCAGACGTTACTAGCCTTACAAAACCAGCAGAGTCCTCAGTACGCTCATGAGTCTCAGTTTCCTCCAAACTACCTCCAGACCCAGCTCCAGCTGCACCAGCAATCCACCTCACTGTTTAATGCTGCCGGACATGAGAGTCAGTTTAACCAGAACTGCCTGGCCAACCATCCTGCTTTTCTTCATGGAATGATGAACATGGGACAACCACAGGCATTGTCTATCATGGAGAATAATGGAAGCGTTGTTTCTAGTTTCAATGGCAATGTGAACGCTGGAGGTGGGTATCTTGGTAGTGGGATTATGATGTCTCCCAACGCAACTGCGGTGAATGCAGCCGGCGGGATTGGTACAGGAGCTGACGCCGGGCTCGTTAAGGTTGATTATGACATGAGTCCGGCGGGTTATGGCAGCTGGGCGGGGAACTCAGTTCAAGCTTCGAATGCTGGAGTTTTTCAAATGTGGGATGATAATTGAGTGGTTTGCATGGGGGCGGTATGAAATTTTGGTTTTATGCTTCTCATCGTCAAAAGCTTCTCTCTTAATTGATACAATGATTCGATCAAATTTTGGTATATGGCCAATTGTAGAGGTGGTCATCCATGATCCATCTGGTGACTGCTTTTTCTTGCTAAAATTATTTACATTGAGAAACCGTGAATAAAATGTCTTCATCTGATCTTTGCGAACATGGGTTTTATTATAGACCCAGTTATAGATGAAATTAGGTTTAATTCTACGCATATAAAAATAAAGTTTTCCTGATATGCAAATATCTAATTGAGAGTGGATTATATAAAAATCAGATTGGGTTCAGGTGGTTGGATGGTCCGAGCTTGGTTGGACCAAGGAACTGAGGGAGGGAAAGGTAGGAAAAGGTTCCCATGCACAACCATAGTGAAATTACTGATTTGGGTACAAAATCTTTGTTATTTTGCACTCCTTTGTCTGATAAAGACAGATAAAAATGGGCTGTCCACAACTAATAATTTCTCTCTGTTTTACCAACAATGGGAACAAGTACCAAGTAAAAGAGACACGGTGGATTGGATGATGAATCTCTTCTCTCTGTTTCTCTAATTTTTTATTGAACCAACCAGTCTGCCTGTGCAAGGCCACGTGTGCTACAACGCATAACGAGATATATGTCCCCTTGCCCAACCAAAAGTTGCCAATTTTCTATTTTTCTTTCCCTAAAAAGGTATATCGAACCAAAAATGGAAGCATCACCATTTTGTTCTTCCCACGCGAAGAGAGCGTCCAGATATCTAGAAGCACACCTCCTCTGTACATCGGCTGATCCCCGTGGTTCGTCTTTTTGTGCGCGTAGGCTTGGCTACGCCCCAGCCGCACCCAGACTGTGCGCGTGAATGGGCACCCGACTGTGTGCGAGAATGGGCAAATAGGGGTTGGATACTTTTATTTAGGGGTGCAACTTGGGGGGGCCCAACCCGAGCCCGAACCAGCCCAGCCCGAAATTTTTACACGGACTGGGCTTGGATTTTTGGTCCTCAGGCTCAGCTTGGGCCCAAGAAATTGGGTTTTTCAATTTTTTGGACCGGGCCTAGGCCTAGCTTTTAGGTAGACCAAACCTGGCCTGACCCCGGCCCAACTATACACATGTATATATATGTTAGTTATGCATAAATATTTACATATTTGTATTGATTAACGCAAGTCCAGTCCAGGCCTGAGCCTAATCCGAGTTCATCAAATTACAGTGTGTGCTAGGCTCGGGTTAAGAAAATAGGTCTTAGTTCAAGCTCGGGCCTTAAGCCCAAATTTTAGGGTCAGGCCCGAGTTGATCATAAACCCGACCCAATCCACCCGATTTGCACCCCTACTTTTATTGTGTCTAGATTTTTTATCCTTGGATTGGAAAATTGACTGACGCTATCCCTATTGTTTTTGACAATTGACTAATACTTTCCTTACCGTTAGCATCCGTTATTATTCCGTCAAAACCCATATACACGTGAGACCCCATAGTGTTTAAAATTCTTTTAAAACCCAATATTACACCCCTCCCTCATCTCGATTCCCATGGAGCTATAGAAATCAGCGTTCCTAGAGAACTTACTGTAGTTCAACATTCTGATTAAAATTCGAACTCTTGAACCCTCAATCTTGGAGATAAAAAATCTCTAATGCCTCTCCTATCAAATGAGCTTTCCCAGGCTAATCACACATTTTCCTAAGTTGGTTTGCCCTCTACCGCCACTGGTTCAAGCGCCTATAATTTGCTTTGAGAAACCGGAACACGAGTTCCCTCAAATAGTTTGACCTTTCTAATGTCGGGGGGCAATAAATGCAGTAGATCCCCGATCATTTCAGATGTAGTGGTGGTGGCGGAACAGGGGAGAAAGAAAGCCCAGGTTGACCATAAACCTGGCCCAACCCACCTGACTTGCACCCCTACTTTGATTGTGCCTGGATTTTTTATCCCGGATTGGGAAATTGACTGATGCTACCCCACTGCCTCTCTAATGCCTCTCCTATCGTCCGAGCTTTCGCAGGCTAATCACATTTTCCTAAGTTGGTCTGCCCTCTACTGCCACTGGTTCGAGCACCTATGATTTGCTTTGGGAGACCGAAACACGAGCTCCCTTAAATAGTTTGACCTTTCTAATGTCGGGGGCAATGAATGCAGTAGATCGCTGATCATTTCAGATGTAGCGGTGGTGACGGAACAGGGGAGAAAGAAAAAGAAAAATAAGAAGAGGAAGAAGGAGCATAGAGCCCCTTGGCTGGACCTGAGATTTTCCTGTTAAGTTCTGCTAGAACAATTGGAAGATTATTTTCAGATCTGCTTCTAGGACTGTTAGGGCTTCTTTCTACTTCCTCGAGCTCCAATAGGGTTTGATGAACCAGCGTTTTTCTCCTTTTTCCCTGTTTTATTTTGAAAACTTGAAGAAGAATAAAGGGCAAAATAGTTTTTTTGTCTTTTTATTAACGGACCTAATGGTAAGAGATCAATTATCAGAAATAATAGAGATAGTATGAGTCATAAAGTGTAAATTTTAAAACAGTAGGAACAATAAAGGTTGGGAACCCGGCCTCACTAACATGTTTAGTATCCTTTCCAGGCCCAGCTCAATCCAAGACAAGCCACATAATCGGCTCTACACGGAAAAAAGAGAACTGATCCTCCGTCGAATTTAGTTCGCAGTAAAGGATTCAGTTGACCCCATCTGGCCATCTCGCAAATTTACACAAACTGGGATTGGGTGTTTGGTCCTCGAGCTAGGTCTGGACCCAAATTAAGGCCGGTCCGGGCCCAAATTCAAATGAAGTATGTAACATTTGTTTGAATGTAGGCTGGGCTTGGGTTGAATGGACCTTAAACCCAGCCCAGCCCAGCTGACTTGCACCCCCTAATTCGCAGAAGCCATTTGAGCCGCGGAAATGCGGAATTACCAGAGAAACGACTCGTTTTCTATTTGCAAATTGCAACCAACTTCAGAGTTTAGACGACTTTCCTTCCACCTCGGACCGGACAGCTCACTAGGGGTAGGGGAGCGTAACACAAGGAGTAGACATCCGCGTGCCACGTGTACGGATGATTTTATCCCACGTGTTCGGCAAGTTAGGGACGAGAGCGACCCCACCCCGTGAAAAGAAAGAGAAAAGGGCGGTCAGATAGGGCGGCTGGAGAGCAGGAAATCCCATCACTAAAAAACTGTGGGGTACCGATGATTTCTCTAAATTCCAATTTCACCCCTATATCATCTCAATATTGTCGATTCATCTCCAAAGGAGAGCCGTCGATTCCATGGGACCCACGAAAGTTGATATACAGTAAACCCATACATCAATTCTTCTCCCGCACGAGAAACGTCAACACGTCAGAGCTGATCCAGAGCGCAGGCATGTGATGTAATTTGGAGAAAAATAATAGGGGCATAATAGTAAAAGTAATGAAGAAAAACGTCTGATGCGCGTTCCAAAGAGGCCCATATTCCATCGCCATTACCGACCTTGGAATCCCCCCATAAAAAACCCCCCTCTCCCACCCCAAACCCAAATCTTTCTTCGTTCGTTTCCGCCGAGAACCCACCACTCCCTCTCACCGGCGCTGTTTTCTCTTCCGCTTCGAACAAGCGCAGATCGAAATCGAAAAGGAAAGATAAAAGAATGGCTCAAAGAGAGAAAGAGGAGACCGAATTCAAGGTCCCCGAAACCCTAACCCTCTGCATCAACAACTGCGGATTCCCCGGCAACCCCACCACAAATAACATGTGCCAGAACTGCTTCAAGGCCTCCGCCGGGGTCCTTACGCCCCTTAAGTTCTCGGGAAAGGACAAGCCCAGATCCAGCTCGGTCCGATCGCCGGAGAGATCCGACCGTCCGGCGGAGACGCGGATTTTTAAGGAGGTGACGAAGCGCGATACGACGGCGGCATCTGAGGCGGCGTCAGCCGCGGTGGTGAAGCGAGAGGTAAACCGCTGCTCGGGTTGCCGGAGGAAGGTGGGGTTGACTGGGTTCAGGTGTCGGTGCGGGGAGCTGTTCTGTTCGGAGCACAGGTATTCCGACCGGCACGAGTGCAGTTTCGATTACAAGGCTGCCGGTCGGGAGGCGATCGCGAGGGAAAACCCGGTGGTTAAAGCTGCCAAGATCGTTAGAGTCTGAGGATAATTAAGGGCAAAAAAGGATCGTGTGATTGTGAAGAAGAAAACTTAAGGACGTGTGCAGAATTGGAGACTCGATCTCGTGACCTCTGGTTACGCCGCTCTCGACCGACTAATTGCGAGCGAGAGACGAGAGAGAGAAAGAGAGACAGAGACAGAGAAAGAGGAGATTTGTGGAACTGTGAACAAAAAGTATAATGAATTTCTCTCTGGTTTACCTTGTTTTTATTTTTATATTATAAAAAAATTATTTTATTCTCTATATTTCTTGTGATTTGCTTCTGGTTTAATTTTCTGTTCGGTTCAGATTTTGTTTTAATTTATTTATTGCTTTTCCATTAATGCTTGGGAATGAATTATGAGTTGGAAAACGGTGACAGATTGAGGGGCATGTTTCTGGAAATTTATAAAATGAAGGAGGGTAATATCGGCATAAAAATTTCTTTAACTGCCATGTGTGGATAAAGAGAGACGACCATGCTTCTGAGTTCTGACTTTTTTTTTGAGTACGTTCTCGCTTCAATTACGCCTCCCCTCCTAAAGCTGAACCTGGGAGCCTCCTCTTGGGTCACGGACTCACCGTGTGGGTCACTAATCAATTGCACTTCGCCCACTTTGGTCTAATCCTGAGCCGACCCGACTCACCACCCTAGCCAGTTGTAGTGAAAGCCTCTAACCCAACGCTGAAATCGCCCTAAAGCGAGGGCCCACCTAAATAAAGGGAGAGACTAATGAAATATAGATATTCTCAATTCTTGGGGTCTTTATTATATGGTCCAGCCAAACCGAATCGAATGTGATTGAAATTTGTGGTTTGGTAACTTTGGTTTGATTTGAGTGTAAAAATGGTTTGGTTTGTGATTTTTAAATTATAATTTACGGTTTTGATTTTAGAAATCAAATCGTAAACCGTAAATTGAACTGTATATTACATACAAAATTACATATATATTATTTCGACTTTCTAAGTCTAATCGGATCAACATGAGTCCACCGCATGAAGTATGTGTTTGGTTGCTTGGGCTGTTTATTTGTATCTTTTTCATTTTAAATGTTTATTTATATTTTTTTATTTTAAATTTTTCATTCTTTTTGTTTGGTTGAATTCAATTCTCTATCTTAGATTAATAGTTATTTGGTTTCAAAAAATATTGGGGCATTGGGGAAACAAGAATATGACGTTTTTCCAAATGCTCTATTTACAAAAAGCAAAGTGTTTTAATTTTCTATCATTTATTTGACAGATGGTGAAATGTTTTATTTTGCTTCATACTAATGTGGTGGTGGTGTTCTTCCAATAAATGCCTACAGAACCAAACACAGCTTATGCTGACTTTGCATCAATGCAAGTCTACGTCAGTATACGATAAACTATTAAAAATTTTATTTTTACACGTGGCAAAAACTTTAAACTGGGTATTTGGAGAGGGAAATATATATGGGCCAAACTCCCACGTCCTTTTGTTTGTAGGAGAGAGAGATTAGATTTATTGGAATCATATCGTTTTCTAAGAGCTAAAATGGACAAGTAGGAGGAATATCAATATTCGGCATTGGAGAAGTGAGGCCTGTGACATTTATTAAAATGGACCACGATGTAATAGCCCACAGTATACGGCCAAGGAAACGGACCTTTGCGACAACAACCGCTTTGAAAATTGAAATAATACTTTTTTTATTGAAAAAGGATTGAATGCGATGAATTTTGTTTGTTCGAGTTTATCGATTTCTTTACTCATAGATGGAATTTGGATAGATATCTTTTGTGGGAAGAACCACCTTTTGACCATATCAAACAATTTTTACAATCCAACCCGGATTTCAGGCCCATTTGGCCCTTCCTTAGTAAAAGATACCTGAGCCAATGATCCAATGGTCCAGTTTGTCATATTTTAAAACTGTTTAACTCAGTTCGTGGGTCACGGGTTGGATATTAAATCTCCTTTTATATGATGAAATTCTCGGTTATTATTTTATTTTGTTTAGTATAAAGAATATATGATATTCGACACATGCTATTTTGTTTGAATTTTTTTTTATATTTTTTATATTATATGATTTATACCCATTTCCAAATTGTATTTTGAAATATATGGATTGTCCGTCATGTATTAAAAACATCTCCCAATGATGATATCATCATTCTTGGTTTATTATTAGGAGATGTTCTCAATACACGACAAAGATGTATTATGGGACATTATGGGAGGTGCTAATTTAAACTCCAGGCTAACATGCCAAAGGCTCTAGGCTTACTAAGAGCCCTCTTGGGATTGAGAGGACTTTAGCTCTAATTGAGCTGTATTGATTGAGACACCTTCAATAAACTATTTACGGTACAATCAATTTTTTAATTCAGTTAAAGTTGGTTTGGAGTTTTTTCATCAGCCCCCCACAACTCCCCAAACAGGCACTGCCACACTGAAACGAAACAAGCAAAAGTAATTACTCTAATAATCTAACCTTCAAGATTGTAACATACCACCATGGAGACCAGATCTACTATTCACATAGTGCATCTCACACTGACTTTACAGACTCGTCTCACCATTTTTTGTAAGCAAAGAGATCCATTGCAAAAACAATAAGGATACAAAAGAAGACCCCTCATGCTGAGATACGAGCTGTCTCAGGGGGAGGGGTCTAGGGGTCAAAATGTAAGTTCTATTTACATTGGCCCTTTTTGCTGTGTCATGGGCTAGGCCTACATCATTCTTGTTTACATACATAATTTTAAGTTCCACAAAAAAAGAGAAAAAAATTTGATATGCTCGATCAGTGCCTGTTCATTCCACCTTGTGTTTCCCTTGGTTTCTCTGAGTTTTTGCAGGATCTCCTTCGTGTCCTACAAAATTATTACATGGTTGATACCTAGCAAAATAAGTCTTCTCAGGCTTCTAATGATTGCCCAGATCTCAACTTATGAGGCGTTAATGGCATTGCATTGTTGTCCTTCTACAAAGCAAACATTATGTGTGTAAGAGACTGACTATATATAAACTTGTGGAGGCTGAAATAGTTGTTGGGTTCTAGGATCCATCAGCTATAGCTATCGAGGGGTAGATTGTGGGTAGGTATGTCATTTTGTTCAGGTTGGTGGTGAGATTGAGACCAATTTTGATCTTCTATATCTGGGATGTAAAAGTTTGCTTTCCTTATGACTTCAAGGGAGTCTGGGGACTTTTCTTTGAAGATCACTTCATTTCTATAATCCCATATAGCCCTCAGGATGGCTAGCAGCCTAGCCAAAAAGAAATCAGCAAGACTTTTCTTCCCAGGGTTCCTTTCAAGCCACCATGATAGGAAGTATAGTGTTCCTGAGACTATGAAGGCTTCTGGATTAAATCCAATTTGTGCTGACAACCAAACTGCCCTTGCTAGAGGACATTAAAAGAAGAGGTGTGCTGGTGTTTTTGGTGCATTGCCACAAAGGACACAAGAGGAATCCCCTGAGTGTCTTAGAATCCAAGTGGATTGCTTCGTCTTAACTCTGTTCATTAGGAATTTCCATCCAAGGAGTTGACATCAAAAGGGTGCTTTTGTGGTCCACAACCTTGACCACTTAATTTGTTCTCGAGAGGAGTCCATGGTTTCAGTGCTTGAGAAATTTTTGTAAGCCGATTGAACCAAGTATTCTCCATCCTTAGATCTTTTCCATTGAAGCTTTTCTGCTTGACATTGGGGGGTCAGGGGGGTGTTTAAAATAGCCTCAGCTAATAAGTCTATAAAGACATGGTATAAGAGTTGGGAATTCCAAACCCCATGGGAGGTGATAAAGTATTTTACAATCCAATCTCTGCCAAAGGGATCTTCTAGTTGTTGGGGTTGGGGTTTATTGGAGGGGAGATTCGAGATCCAGAGATCATTATGAGAGTTTATTCGAGCTCCATCCCCTACTTTCCAACAAAAGTGGGAGTGAGACTATTCCTAATACTTAGGATGTTCTGCCACCAATAAGAGAGCGAAATCTTTGGAAGGAACAAATTCAAGCAAAATACCTATAGAATAAGTCTATCTTTGAGGAGAATCAAGACTTTTAACCCTATGAAACATTTTTTGATATGATGAATAGTACATATTATAGGAAAATATATAAAGGCAGCGTTTTCGAACCATTGTTGATCCAAATGATAGGACCGCTCAACCTAGGAACCCGGTCCTTAGCCAAAAACCATTAATTTGTTTAACAACCCCACTGACCCAGATAGTCAAACCATTGACCTATTCAACAATTTATGACCATTTTTTATTTTTTATTTTTTTTCAATTGGAACAGGCCATAAATTCGAACCAGATGGCCAAACATTGACATAAAAACCAGTGGCTAGAACGGTTGCAGTTCTAGGTAGGTTATTAAAACCTTGGAATAAGGTCTGGGGACAGAAAAGGGCGAACAGGCAGCCAACTAACCATATTACAAAAAGCATGTGATTTTGTGGGTTTGATCCCACACCTATTTGGAGAGACGCCAACTGACAATCTCAACTAGTGGGTCATTGTTTGAAGGGTAAAATAATTGTACTTTGAAAAATAATTATACAATTAAATAATTTGTACCTTTTTTTTTCTTTTGTATAAGCCAATCACTTACAAGAAGGTTTCTAGCTTGGTGGAGGGTTTACAAGGAGAGGTGGGAGGATTTTTTGTTGTTGACTGGTTGGATAAACCAAACAGAACCTTAGAATTTGACTCGGTGCACAGTTTTTTTCAACGATGTAGGGATGGATATTCAACAATCAACATGATTGGTTTTGTTTTTTGAAAATAAAGACAACTGCAACAAAATGATATTGATTTGGTTGTTGTTCTTGTTTTTCAAAAACAAAACCATGCAACCATGTTGTTTACGTTAATGTGATCTGACTCGGACCATGTTTCAAAGCATGGTTTTTAAAACTGGGCCGGATCAGATGGTTAGACCAAAAAACCGGTAACCGGTCAGTCTCCTGGTCCGGTTTTGCAAAAAACCGGAAATTGTTAAAAAGCATTGAAAAGTCAGAAAACCGTTGACTCGAGCGGCCGAACCGTTAAACCGTTCGACCCGGGCAACGGTTTGCGGGTTAGTATTTTTGTTTCCAATGTTTTAAATAAAAAAACAAAAAATAAAATACCTTTTATATCCCCAACCCAGTTCGAATCCCTTACTCCCTTCACTTGCAGCGGCGAACGGCGAACGGCGAACAACAAACGACGAACAGTGAACAAAAAGTAAAACACCTCACCCTCACCAGCACTTGCAGCTGCGACTTGCAACGGCGAACAAAAAATAAAATACCTCACCCTCTCCAGCACTTGCAGCGGCAAAT